GGTAGGGGTGGGGTGGGGAGGGAGGAGGATGTAGGTCTAGAGGATCATGCCAGGTAGAACTGCACCCTGAAGGTTCTAGAACACAGGCCAAGCTGTATCCCAACATTTCCTCTGGCTGGGAACTCCTGTGTAGTTTCTGACCCCCCCTTTTTTGAGTAGGATGGTCTCTTCCCCACCTGTGCAGTGAATGTGTGCGGGTTGCTGGGTGAAGAGAAACTGTTAAAAGTTCTTTAGGCACACAGGCACCCTCTCACTTCCCCCCAAGGTGTTAAAACTTTCCATGAGTTCTGGGGACTTTAAGCTGAGACCATAAGGAGTGTGAAGTGAAGGCCTGGAGGGAGGAGATGAGCTCCCATTTAAAATTGGAAGGTTGGATTTTCTTTTTTGTTTTTCGAGACAGGGTTTCTCTGTGAGCTTTGGAGCCTATCCTGGCACTCACTCTGTAGTCCAGCCTGGCCTTGAACTCACAGAGATCCGCCTGCCTCTGCCTCCTGAGTGCTGGGATTAAAGGTGTGCGCCACCAATGACCGGCACAATGATTATTTTTGTGTTGAGGAATAGCTACATTTTTAAAAAATTTCTTATAAGTTTTAATGATGGGTATGTATCTCTGTGAGTGTGTGCACATGAGTGCAGGTGTCTACAGAGGCCAGGAGCAGTGGAAGCCAGTTATGAACTGCTTTATATGGGTGCTGCCTAACTTGGGTCCCTGCAAGAACAGTACATATTCTTGCCAAGCCATCTTTCCAGCCCCCATTGCTATTTTAAATAGTCACAGCATATTCCACAGTATGACTTCACTATCATTCTTATAACTACACCTTTAGCATTGGTTTTTATTTTATTGTGGCTATAACTGATGTGGGAATAATCTTGAAGAAAATTTAGTATAACTGCTAGACAGTTTTCTTGGGATAAATCTTAGGTAATGCTAGGTCACAAGGTTAAAGACTTAATATATAGAAAACCCCTGGTTTTCCTACAAGCCTACTTGTATCTCATATGTCCTCTTCTCCCCTTGCCCTTTATCCTTTTATAGCAGAGGAAGGCCCCCATCCCACCCCAGCTGTGTTCAAGGATCAGCTTAATTTTCTGGATTCCATCTCTGGTCGGCTTAAGACTTACAGTGCTTGCTTTTATCACTAGCAACAATAACTTTCTCCCTTTTCGTGGGGTTTCCCCTTCAGGCTCCGGGTAGAAATAATAGCCAAGAGGGGCTAATAAGCACTAGGCGATGGAGAGCTAGCTCTTAATATTAATCTGAGTTGCCTCATCGGAGGGAGGAAGGGTGCTTAGCTTTCGGGGAACACTTGGGGAAGTAGGGGCAGAAAGTAGCACTCGTGGAGTATGAATGTTAGGGGGGTAGGTGAGGCCCAGTATACAAGATGGACAGCAGGTAATAACCTGGAAAGAGGCCAAAGCCAGGTGGCATACACCTTGTTTACTGTTAGGGAGCTTGGTGCTGTCTTGTGGCACAAAAGGAAAAGATTTTTGGATGCAAAGTTGGTGCTGCCAACCAGAAAAGATGAACTTTCAAGGGAGTCCTGGAATCCAAAACTTCCTTCTCCTCACAAGTTTGCTTTGCACATAGGGCAAAGGCCTGTAAGAACTTACAGCCAAGCCAGGATGCCTGGGCCTGGCTACATGGTGAAGTCTGTCCCACAGTCCCCAGGCCATTAGGACAGTTCTCACCCCAGAGAGGACACTGCTTCTGTTACCCTCCCCAGAACACTGCACCTCCTGGTTAATAGTCTGAAGCTGGGAGTTTCCCTTGGAGTTTGGGCACAAAAGTGCACCTGTCCTGGCCTAGGCCATGGGGATTGAGGCAAGCTGTCCAACTCTCTTGTACCCTTCCCAGCCCCAAAAGATAGCCTGGCTTGGGTGACTCCTGACAGCCTGTCATCTCCCTTTCCAAAATGGAACTGGTATTTTAATTCCTCAAGACCATCACACTTGCCCAACATTGGAGAAATATGAGGCATAACTCCTCATTAATGATATTTACTTCTAAATGCCAGGAAGGCAGATGGACGCACACAGGTAATTTCACTCCGATCTGCATGACCTCAGAGTTAGGCCTGCCTCACACCAGGTTGCTAAACCTCTGCCCCGTCCTAAATGGAGATCCAACACCATCCTTAATTAAGTTCTTCCTGTCCACCGGCTGCCAGGTGTGCGCTTCAGCGAGGTTGTGCTAATGCCATCCTCCGAGCTTTCCAGGCACATCTGCTCTGAGCTCAACCCCGACCGGGAAGCCCCCCTCCTGCGGCCCCGCCGCCCCCCTTTGCGTGGCCCGAGATTCGTCTGTTGCGCTGCAGAAGCGCTGCCAGGAAGGTCACGTCCAACGCTCACCCACCCAGCCCTGCAAGTATAAAAGGAGGGAGGAGAGCGACAGGGACCAAACGGGCGGCGAAAGAGGAGAAGGAGGTTAAAGAACAGTGACCGAGAGGCCACCAAACATCTAAACATCTTCATCCCTGGAGAGCTGCCTTTCTGAGACGGGTAAGGGTGCCACAGTTCGGGACAGCTTTCCTACACTGAGCTCTGCCCGTGGGCCTTGGGATGCTCTGCAGGTGGGAATGCAAACTGGCGCTCCCCGGCTTGACGGGGACCTGAGCTCTTCGCAAACTTTCTGAGAAGGAGCTGAGCCCGGACATGGGATGACAGGGTGCAACCCTCCAGAGAGCAGGTGGTTTGGAGATTCCGGGGATCACCGCCGTCGGGGAGAGGGGGTGGTCCCGGAATTTGCAAGGATGAATGGAGCATTAAGATCGTCTTAGACTCCGACAGGCCCCTGGGAACATCTTGGGAGAATTCCCCTGTAGGTTTCTCTTCCCGATTATTCGTATTTATATATATAAATTGAATATAAAACCATGTTGCAAAGATAGTGGGAGAAAAGGCCGAGTCACACTAAGCTCCTAATAGTGGAGTTCTTTTGTTGCTGCTACAGACCCTAAACCCTCGTTTCCCTGCGCATCTTAGCGAACTCGAGGTGGCTGCATTGCCGTAATTATGTGGGTACAATAGGCATTCTCTCCAAGATGCAGCCCGGTTTAAACAAAGCGGGGAGGGAACTGTCCGAGGTTCTGAACCACCCGGTCTAGTTTAGGAAGTCCTCAAAATGACTGTGATTGTAGGGCGGTGAGGCATTTGAAAGGACTTATGCTTGGGCAAAAGACATTTCAAATGAAGGAGGGACAGATCCCCCAAGTTCTCCATGTATAAATAAAGCAGGGGAGGTTTTCGCAGAATGGCCGGGAGGAGTCAAATAGAATGAAATAATTAGTATGTTTGTGTTTCTCAATTTGTGAAGTATGTGCAGATTGTGGCTGATTCAGAGGCTTGTTTCCTCTGAGTATTATAGAAGCGGAGGCGCAAGCACTGTGTATGGCGAAGCTGCATCTTCATGCCCCTTGGGTGTATATATAGAGGGCTATGTCGACGTCACTTGCAGAGGAGTAAATACAAGGTTCTCCTGAGTTCAGAGGATTCCCATTTAGGGGGTCCTAATAGGTATAGTTCTGTCAAAATGAATAAATCACATTTTTTTTTATCTTCCAAGGTTTTTTAACGACTGGAATCCAACACTCTCCCACCTATAAGTAGCGCAGCATTAGACATTTCCCCCACTACTTTTAGTTTCTCAAAAAAAAATACAAATAAGACATTTGTTTCTCTGAGAAAAAGGAGAAAAAATACATATAAGAAAAAAATAGCAAGTTGCTTTCTGGAGCCATGTAACTGGGAGCTTCTGGGGTGCGTGAGAATTTCAGCTCACATCCGGTGGGCTAGGAGGAGAGGGAAGGCTTTTGGAGGCCTGAAATCCCGACTGTGGCTCCTTCAAAGATAAACTTCATCCCACAGCCATCTAGATTTGAGGACAACTGAAACTTACTTGAGAGGACTATCTGGCTTGTGTAATCTTATTTTTCTTTGCTACCATGTTTTCATGCCATTTACCATTTTTTCTGGGGGGGGGTAATTTGTGATCTCAACGTTTTGGGATAATTGGGTGCCTGTCTGAGTCTAAGCATCAGGAAAGGCTAACCAAGGTTGCTTCTGGGCTGAGGTGCGGCCCACACAGCTCAATGGTGGCCAGTGTTCACTAATGGTGGTTCTGGAAAACAAACAAACAAACAAAAAAACCATTCAAAGCTTGATGGACAACCAGCTCCTGGAGAATTGCACAGCCCTTTGTGAGGCAGAGACAGGCAGATCTCAGTGAGTTCGAGGCCAGCCTGGTCTACAAGTTAATTTCAGGACAGCCAGGGCTATATAGAGAAACCCTGTCTTGAAAAAAAGTCAAAAATCCAGGAAAAAAATCCTCCCAAAGTTATCAAGGTCTTGTAGATATACATGGCAATCACCAGGCAATCTGTGTATAGGACATCAAACTGGTTGCCTGAGACCTGGACTAAATAAACTGGGTTTATTTGCCCGTATTCAAGCCTCAAATGCATGGGAAATGATCAAAGTTTAGGGGACAGGATCCAGACCAGGAATGTCCTAGTAATGTCTTTTTTTTTTAGTTACTCCCACCCACTGGAGATGGAGTGTTGAACTATAGCTTCAGGCTGTAAACTTAGAAGGTGCTCTGGGAATGCAGGAGAACTTACCTTTTCTTCATCATGAACACAAATAATTTTTGTTGGGCTTCAGTGTTCCCACCTCTCAAATGAGGGGTTGGGCCATGTGATCTCCCCAGATAACCTCATCTTTAATTTCTAATTTAAGGGTCTGGTTTTTAACAGGAAATACAGAGGGGAAATGCCCTTAGCTGTGTCGAGCTCTTCTCTTTTCCCTTCCGTGACAGCCCCGTGCATATCATCAACTTCTGAGCATTGCTCCTGTCCTCAGAAAGCCTTGGACTGAACCAGCGAGAGCTGTTAGTGTTGGCCCAAAGTCCTTCCTGGTGACTAGCCAACATTGTTCTGCTCCTTGCAGGGGTCCCACCAATCTTGTTTGCCTCTGCAGAGCCTTAACCTGTCACCTGGAAGATGCCGAGATCCTGCTACAGTCGTTCATGGGCCCTGCTGCTGGCCTTGTTGCTTCAGACCTCCATGGAAGTGTGGGGCTGGTGCCTGGAGAGCAGACAGTGTCAGGACCTCACCACGGAAAGCAACCTGCTGGTATGTGGACCATGGGTACCACCTCCGTTTGGGTAGAAGATGACACTGGGCTTAGAACAGCTTAAAAGGAAGAGCAGTGTGGGGATAGGGAAACGCATCTACATTGATTGCAGTGACCCAGAAGCAACACCAGGACTTTTCCTATAAGGTTGGAATTAGGCAAAGGCAAGGGGGGAGGTGGCTTCAGAGAAAGGAGATCTGGTCCACTATTTCTGCTCTACTATCCTAACTCCCCACTCTGAAAACCCCTTACCATATGCTCAATTTAGACAGTGCCCTAACCATGGTTGCTCCCTTAATTGATCCTGTATCTTCAACCCTATAACTCCCCAATTAACTTCCCTTTAGATAGTGAAAACTTACAATTTCACTTCCTATTTCTTTATTTCCTCCCAGTTACAAAGCCATCACCGGTTAGGTATTTTCATACAACATCTCCAGAGGGAGAAGGGAAAACCAAAGTATTTTTTTTTCTTGTGTAACTGGTGCCAAATATCTCATGCTGCTTCTAGAAGGCAGGCTTCCTGCCAAGTTCCTCTCCAGTCTTTCCCAGAAGCATGTAAAATCCCTCTGGGACAGGCTGGATCTCCTTCCAGGCCCCAACAGCGTGTACATGCACATGTGAGCACATGTGCGGTGTCTTCGAGTGTCTGTTACTCTACATCCTGTTTGTTTTACCAATAGACAGTTGAGGCTAGGTGATGGGCGAGACCTCCTCAAGACGTGTTTTAGACTCAGCAAGCTCAAGGAACTCCTTGGGAGATCAGTTCAGAAAAACCTAAGACTGTTGATTTGAGGCACACATTGTATAGCATTTCCTGAGGAGCTCTCACCAGAAAAGGGGGGAGGAGGTCGCTAAACAAGGTCAGAGTCCATAGGTCTGTTCCCACCTCTGACACCAACGAGCTGGGACACCTTGACCAGATTTTTTTCTCTTTCTGAGATCACCCCCTATTTCATTATCTGTCCTGGGGAAAAGGTATTTAAATTACATTGCTTTTATCATCCATTGTTAGTATTCTGCATTATTATAATTCCAAATCCCTGGTGTAGAAAACCCTCAACTGAGAAGAGTGGCTGGGACCCTTCTGTTTTTTCCTCGGCAACTTCCAAGGATCAAAAAACAAAACAAAATAAAACAAAACCCTTAAGGATGCAGCCTATGGGTAAATAAAGCTCCCTAGTGGAATCCTCTAGGACCAGAGTGCAGAGGCAGAAATACCCCTGACTTTCCAACCTTTCTTCCAGTCAGAATGAGGAGGCAGGGAAATGAACCAACTTGACTCAAAATTCTGATTGAGACGATACAAGATCGACACACAGAATAAAGGACCTAGTAGATGCAGGGAAGTTTTGAGACAAGCAGGTGGTGTGTGTGCGCGCGCTGGGCTGGAGTAGGCATGAAACTGTAGAGATTTGACTCCTGGCCCCCAGAAGTCAGACATCTATCACCAGGAAAGATTCTCTCCCAAATTCCAGCCCCATGACCCTCCTGTACTTACACGGAGCCCCACTCTGCCATCATTAAGTGACAACACCCCCTTTGGTGCATATGACAGCAAGGCCCTGACAGTAAGAGCTAAGGAAGACAAGCAAGGAATGGTGGGAAGGGTGCTTGCTGCCGTCTAGGCAGAATCATGCAAGGGCAAGAACAGCTTTGTGCATGGTGGTGGTGGGACCTGGGCGGGGGGGGGCACTTGGGGGA